TGTGTGCGCTTATGTGTGTGTGTGTGTGTGTGTGTGTGTGTGTGTGTGTGTGTGTGTGTGTGTGTGCGCGCGCGCATGTGTGACACTGTGTGTGTGTGTGTGTGTTTGTAGTGCTCATGTTACGACGTATTTTTCGTAAATTAATGTATTTTGTCTCGATTCTACATGCCAATCTCATTGGAAGTGTATCACAAGTTTTTGTTTTTCTGAAACCTTCTCTGCGGGGTGTACCTGGAAAAGTCTCGTTGTTTGTGTTTGTCAGTCTGTCACCATATGCATATCTTCGGTTTTTTGCAGTATGCTTATGCATTAGTGGGAGTGGCCGCAGTGTAATTAGTCGTTTTATAGTGGGTTTATACTGCTTGTGCTAAGGCCCTTTTTTCGTGATTTAGTTTGTCCTAATCTTTTGTGCCATTCTACTTGGAGCTGTATCACGAGTTTTTGTTTTTCTGAAATTTTCAGCAGGGTGTTCCTGAGAAAAGTATTGTCGTTTGGTATCCTAGTCTATCGTTATATGTTTTTTTCGTTTTTTTCATTTTTCTCGTGTTTTTCGTTTTTTTCGCGGTATTCTTTACGCAGTGAGCTAGTTTTTTTATTTTTTGTATTTGTGCACGTAACTGTGTTTGTATGTGAGTCCCACAATTTTTATTTTGTAAAAGTAAGTGTATAGGTATCGTTTTTTTTTTGTATTGTAGAAGTTCTTTAGTTGAGTTTCTGAGGCACCATAGGCTAAGGATATCATCATTCTGGCGAGCATGATTTTGGGATAGGCTTATTCAATTTGTGAAGGGAAGATGACCAACTTGTAAAACGAATTAAATCTTTATCCATTTAATTAGAGTCACATAATTCTTATGTTTTGTGTAGAAGTTAATATATATAACTGTAGCAGTTTTTCAGTTGAGTTTCTAAGTCACCATCGGCTAAGGATATCATCCTTCTGGCGAGCATAATAATTGGCTTATTCAATTTGTGAAGGGAAAACGGTGAATTTGAAAAAATAATTTTCTTATTTTTTATTTTTTATTTTTATAAATTATTTAATTAATTATTAACCTAGGCTAGCAGCCGGGCCGCCCGGGTCCCAGGTGGCCAGCCCGTGCAAGGACCAGGGAAGGTCCCAAAAAAAAAAAATAAAAAAAAATCCAAACAATCCGAAAACAAAACATGTTATGCAGAAAAATAAACGGAACAAGTTTTGCCTCAGGGTCACATTGAAATTCGTCACCAAATGTAGAATAAAAATTAAAATTTACAAATAAGTTTTTATTTTTATTTTTTTTCTTATTTTTGGCCTGGCCGGGCAAGTGACCCCGGGCCACTCTGGTAACCTAGTTATTAACTTTATTTACTTATTATTTTATTGCTTTATTTTTTTAATTTTTATTTGGATCTAATTATTTAATTATTATTATTTTATGATTTTATTATTGTATAATACTTTGTATAATACTTTGGATTCAATTTGTATTATTATTTTATTATTATTTTTTAATATTTTTTAATATTTTTTATTTTTTATTTTATTTTTTTATATGTTATATTTTATTTGATTTAAAAACCAAAATCAAAACTTCTTATTTTTCCATTATTATCTATTTTATTATTATTATTATTATTATTATTATTATTTTCTTTTTATTTCTTAATTATTATTTATTTTTTAATCATTTTTATTATTATTAATGATTAATTTATTATTTATTAATTGTATTAATTATGAATATTATAAATCTAAAATGAGTTTGTGTGTGTGTGTGTGTGTGTGTGTGTGTGTAAAAATGAATAAGCAAGCATAGTAGCAACCCGAGAACACTGGAACCTCCACATTGATCCACGCATATACTGTTTGCACTGCACTCCTCATCCGTAGGATTGAATAATGCTACAAACCAACAGTCCCTGCAAACAAGACCAAAGGAATTTAGCGGTCACCTCGAAAAAGAGCATGTAGGATAGATAGCTAAGAACGGAAGAGAGAGGAAGAAGGGAGAGCACTGGTGGCATAGCCACCATTGTTGGCATAGTAGCCAACGTGCCAAGTTGCCAACCCTTTTGAATAGCAGATGAGAAGAAGGACAAAAGAAGAGAAGGAAGCAGTGCTGACATAGCCATCACGTTGGTGTAGTCACCAATAGAGGAGGGATGACACATCCTTTTAAAGCGATTTCCGACGCTTGCTCCTGTCATGTCCATGGAATGCCATGCAGAGGCCACTAAGACAAAACACATGGCGGCGAACGACGGCAAAGCAAGGAAATGGACTATTATGAGTGGTTGCACTGCACATAGGGTGGAGAACATGGGGGAGGCAGGTGGGCAGGCAAGCAGCAAGGGAAAAGACACAACGTACAAGTACCGGGTTAAAAAAAAAAAAAAAAAAAAAAAAAAAAAAAAAAAAAAACAAAACAAAAACACGGCCTCCTGTGCTGCACTTCGGGTTCTCCAGCAAAGATAATTGGCTTGGGCCTCCTAGCTAGCTGGGAAGCGACCATTTCGTCTTTCCAGCTCGCGCCTGGTGTTAGAAGCTTGGGTGCTGCTCCGGGCACAGAGCAGACGTGACTTCTTGACTTAGGAGAGATTTGCGGCTTCTTAACTTAGGAGAGATTTCCTGCCTTGAGCACGAAAAACCGTGTAGTAGTAGGTAGGTAGTGGGAGATATATAAAACAAAAAAAAGAAACTGATGATGACAGACTGTTTTGTCGGACTTGCACCGACTCGTCAGGAGGCTGAACCCTCGACAATCTTGGGAGTCTTCGTATTGGATGGTTTGGGTCATGAACCTTTTGACCCATGTTGAAGGCAGATTGTCCCCCAAACGGAACGCAGCAGGGGGCAACAACCCTGCGGAGCACCAGGCAACGCATATAACAAAAAATAAGTGAAAAAAACAAATAAGTATATGGGGTTGTAGATTTTGGAAAACCTTGCAACCCTATTATTTTTTTTCCCGAATCTGACTTCATTTATGATTAAAAAAAAATTAACAGCCATTTGGTCAAAACGGACAGATGATATTTTTTGAACGAAATCAAAACTGACTTATTTTTGCCAAATCCGGTCGGCGTTCCCAAAACACCGGACCCCCTACATGTATCTGGTCTATGGTTAAGACCAGATACAAAAAAAAAAAAAAAAAAAGTATCTGGTCTCAACCATAGACCAGAGAACGCCAGACCCCCAGGAGCAAAAAATTCCGACCGGATTTTGGCAAAAAAAGTCAGTTCTGATTTCGTTCAAAAAATATAATATGTCCTTTTTGACGAAATGGCTGTTTAAATGAAAAACGAAAATTGGTTAAAACAAAAAAATAACAAAAACTAAAGAACAACAGGAATTTTCTTTAAGAGTCCTACTATATTTTTCAGTCTTTTTTTGGCAGGGTATGTTTTGGGACATTGGGTGTTCAAATAAAACGAAGATGCAAAAAATTCAATTGAAAACAAAAAAAGGGTCAGGCAGGGGTGGACGTGGTCTGGGTGGTGGGGGACCACCACCCACAGAGAGAATGATCAGCACAATTTGTGATGCCATATCACTTGAATGAGCGATTTCTGTGACACGGCATTAAGAATTGTGTTGCTCATGACATACGTTGCCCCCCATATGAATACGGGGCGTTCATACGGCCCACTGCCATACGACCGTACCAGGCGGTCGTACGGGCCATCCGTACGTACGACCGTACGAGCCGTTTCAGCGGCCTTCCTGAAGGGGTCTCTGACATGTCAGGGGGTGGGGGGGGTGTGCATGTCGGGGGCTATCCCCCAAAGTGAAAAAATACGGAAAAAAAAAAGGGGTAACTAGCCTAAGGGCGCAGTCAGGAAAGCAGTTTGTAAATGCATGTCGAACTGCCACTTTGGAGTCCAGTACCGTCCCAAGTTTCAACTGCAGTTGAAACTCTTAACATGCACAAAAGTCGCCAGGCCGAGTTTGCAACTGCAGTCCAGTCCGGAATGTGGCCTTTTTTTTTTTTTAAATCTCGGCCGTGGCCTAGGCATGGTGGTCGTGGCCCAGCCACGGGAGGAGATGCTCTCTCTTTCTCTCTCTTTTTTTTCTTTTTTCCTTTTTTTTAACCTCATGTGGCTGAGGCATAGGGGCCGTGGCCAGCCACGCGACAGGGCCAAGATTTAAAAAAAAAAAAAAAAACAAAAAAAAAACAAAAAAAAAACAGGGCCACTATTCTTGACATGCACAAAAGACAAAATCATGGCGCTGTATCTTTCCATGTTCTAGAGGAAGATTCACTCTCGTTTTGCACATTTGGAGGAGCAAGGCAAAAAGAGAGTGAATCTTCTGCTAGAACATGGAAAGATGCACCGCCACGAGTCCCCAAGAATGACACGGGAAATCTGAGAAGGAAAAAAAAAGAGAAAAAAAAGAAAGAAAAGAAACCCGGTTGTTGTCAGCACGTGTCTCCCTTAGGGCCTCTGTGTCCTCTATCTTTATTAGCCCGTGTATCCGGCTGGGCCACTGTATTACCGTTGCACCAAAAGCAAAAATCATGGAGCTGTATCTTTCCATGTTCCAGCAAAGATTCACTCTCCTTTTGCACATTTGGAGAGTGAATCTTCTGCTAAAACATGGAAAGATACAGGGCCACGATTTTTTCTTTTTTTCTTCTCGTTTCTTCTTTCTTTTTTTTGGACAACGGCCTGGCCCTCCGACGTGGATGACTAGACTGCAGTTCCAAACTCTGCCCTACGACAGCCACGCGACGGAGGAGTTTGACCTGCAGTGTAAACTTCAGAGAGGACTGGACTCCAAAACGGCAGTTTGAAATGTATTTTCAAACCCTGACCGCGCCCTAGTTTTCTCAAAAAAAAAAACTCCGTTCGGGCGGGGTGGGGGGGGGTAGGGTAAAAAAAAATAAAAGATTGATTGATTGAGTGAGTGATGATTGATTGGGGTCGGAAAAAAAAAAAAAAAAGATTGATCGATTGATGATTGATTGGGGT